GGGTTATCGTACTAGCTTCGCGCCGTACTTATTAAGTTACTAGTATCGGCCCTAGGTTTTTATTTTCCCGGTCGGGGGGCCCGGACTAAGGTTAAGGGGAGGTCCTAATAAATTCGTTACTAGGTCTAGGTAGGCGAGGTCCGGGCCGGCCTACTTATAGCGGGGCTAGACTGCTAGTATATTTATAAGCGCTTTTAGAAGCGCTAATTAGCTAATTAATAAGTAGGTTAGCGTAGTCTACTAGTCCGACTAAAAATTAATCGTGCCCCTAGCCGGATTTAAACTAACTCTAGCGTTATAGCTAGTAGGCTTCCTAGGTATATAACTACTATACTATAAGGGTGTCTTTTTTTATATATATAACTTAGTTACCTAGGCTCCTTAGCTTTATATAAGCTAGGCTAATAATAAAGTATATAAATAAAGGGCTTAAAGACTATTAAATATAAATACTATAGCTAAGGAAAGACTAAGAAAGGAATTACTAAACGAACCCTTATATAGCTAAACTAGCTATATAAGGAAATTTAGGTTAACTAAACTAATATCTCTAAGGACTAAGAAAGCTTTATTAAGGTAATACTTTTTATAAATGCTTTTTTAAGAATAGTTTTCCTTTATTTCTTATAGACCTACTTAAGTAAGTATAATTAGTTTACTTTTTAAGACTTTATTAACTAGATAAAATCCTACTTTAACTATAAGGTAAAGTAGATATAGTTTAATAAAGAGCTATTTATAAAAGATATCTTAAATTAGCTCTAAAAAAAAGTATTTTACCCTTCCTATTAATATTAAATACCTAGGCTTAAAATAAAAGGGCATAAAGATTAAAGGGTATTATAATAAAAAGGGCCTATATAATAGGTCTATAATTAAGTAAGTATAATAAACGCTATCCGCTAACCTCTTATAATATAAGCGCTAAGTATAAGCTAGCGCCGCTTACTTAGCCCCCTATATATATTATATATTATAAGAGCTTAACTACTTTAACTAAGCTAAGCGCTACTATAGCGGTAGCTATTATTAGTACGCGCGCGCTAGCTATACTTATAAGGTAGCGCCTCCTATCCTTCTTACTATAGTATTAGCTTAAAAGGCTAGCTTATATAAGTAAGTATAGGGGGCTACTAAGAAGCGCCTTACTACTATAGCTACTATATACTATAACCTCTATACCCTTAAGCGATAGGGCCTTATACTTAAGTAAGTCTTTACTCTTTTACTTCCTTACTTTTACTTTTAATATACCTAGCGCTAGGGATACTACTTTTATTACCTTATTAGTAGTCTTCTTAGCTATACTTACCTTTACTACTACCGCTACCCTTACCGCTACTACTAGCTACCGCCCTTTTACCTTTAAAGCCGCCGCCGCTACTAACTATCTTATAAGCTTAAAGGGCCGCTTTAGCGCCTTAAAGACCGCCGCCGCCGCTAATAAAAAAGAGGAGGCTAATAAGGATAACGATAATAAAGATAATAATAAAGGTAATAATAATAATAAGAAATAAGCTTAGGTAGTTTAAGGGCTCCGCCTTATAATAAATGCTATTTTTATCTTTACTTATACTATTATACTTATATTACTATAATTACCCCTTTTACTTTACTTACTTTATAGTTTTAGCTTAAGCTACTATAAATAGTTTATTAGTTTATTATTTTAATTTACTAGTTTATATAAGGCCTTAAACTTATTAAAAGCTATAGCTCTTATAAACTTATATATAAGTTCTTATATTAAGTTAAGGTACCTATACTACTTTATAAGGACCTCTTAGTATTTCTTTTAGCTAACTTTTTTTTAGTATATAGCTTATATTTCTTTAACTTTAAATTTACTATTATAACTATAGTTAGCGGGCTATAAGAGACCTAGCTATATTTATATAATAAGGCGGCTTAGAATAATAGTTAGGACGAGAAGTTACTTAGGCTTAGCTTACCTAAAGCGTATATAAGCTAAGTAAGCCTTATATAAATAGATTACTACTTAGGAGTATAGCTTATAAGTAAGCTATAGTAAGCTATAAAGGGGATTATAGCTAAGACCGTAATCTAAGGATAGTCTCTATAAGTATATATAGCTACCTACTTTTACTCCTTTAAATAGATAGCTTAATAGCTTTTAATATAAATCTTTATTACGATTTTATCTCTAATTTTAATTACTTAGTTATAGTCTATAGTCTATAACCTCCGACTTATTACTAACGTAATATACTTATTATTACTTAGACCACGCCCTATTATATCTATTAATATAAACCCCTCGATAGGTTTATCCCTTAAGAATAATACTAGTCGTTATATATTAAAAGCTTATATTTAGTATAATACCGCGTTACTTTAAGTAATATCGTAACTATTAATATACCTATATAGTAAGCTAGATTAACTAACTCTAGAGCTACTATATTGCCTTAGGATATAATACGCGAGATTATTACCCTTTAATATAAGGTATAGTTACTTAAGAATAAAGGAGGCAACGGATAAGTTAAGGACCTTAGAGAAGTAGTTAAACTAAAATAGCTAGGACTATTTAATAGTACTTATAGTATACTTTAAGACTTTCTTACTTAACTTAAGGCCTACTACCGGTTTTACCCTACTAAACTCTTAGACCTAGTCGAAAAGGTACTTTATATAGGAAATTATTTATCTAAAATAGTACTTACTTAGTTTAGACCTATTATAAGGGATTTTCTTAATAACTAACTAGCGTAATAAGATAATAAGATAAATAAAGTCTTTACTAGTTTTTAAGGATTTAAAGAAGCTATTATAAAGGTATTTAAAATAACTAATAAAGAATAAGAAGCTAAATAGAAACTTTAAGAACTTTAATAAAGGATCTTAATATTAGATTATACTATAAAGTTCTATTAAGTTACCTTAAAGCTTAATTAGGATAACGAACCTCTTATATTACGATTTTATAATAAGCTTAAAGAAGAAGTTAAGGACGAGCTTTATAAAGAAAATCGACCTAATAACCTCTTAGACTATATTACTATAGTAATATAAATCGATAATAGATAGTATATATAATACTAAGAAAAGAAATAAGGAAGAGGAAACTAAAACCCTTCTTATAAGAATAACTTTAACTAATATACTAACTATAAAAAGAAGCGCGAAACTTCTATTACCTATACTTATATAATTAACCTAGGTAGGATAGACCTAAATATAATATAAAAAAGTAAAGGAAAGTATTTTAACTATAGGAAACTTAGATATTACTTTAAAGAATATAGATAACCTTATAAGGAGAAGAAAACCTACTAGGTACTAGCCCTAAAAGGTAAGAAATACCTAAACGCTATTAATAGATAGGAACTAAAGTATAAACTCCTTAGTTAAACTATATACTACGACGATAAATATATAGTATACTTAAGCGATAAGAATAGTATTAGATAGTTCCTACAGCTACTAAGGAAAACCCTTATAATAATATAGTAAAGGGATCCTAAAATATAAAATAAGTTAAATTCGTAGAACTAGAATACCCCTATCTTAAAGGAGTCTCCTAAGACTAGATTAAGAAGAATAGTAAACGATTCTAAGAAGATATATAAAATAAAAATCGATAATAATAATAAGCAGTCTATAAATAATATAATAAAAAAGATATAGATATAGCCCTTATACTTATAAAACTTAGATAGTAACTTAAAAAGGAATAATAAAGTATTAACGATATAAGCTTTAAAGAATAAGAAATACCTAGAGAAATAGAAGATAAGAACGAACTTATACTACTACCCTTATTATTAAAGGAAAATACTATAATTAAAGAATACGCTCTATACTTTAAAGAATTTAAAGAAATACTTAAAATTAGAACTTAATAAATACCTTAAATTCTTATAGAAAACTAATAAGCTATACTAATTTAATATTAACTAGTACTACGCGGAGGAAACTATACTATAGCTATCGCTATAGTTAATACCTTTATAGCTTTATAATAAGAATAGTAATTATAAGGAGAATTTAAAGATAATCTATAAATACTACTTACTTATAAGTACTATAAGTATATTTTATAGATATTATATATCTACCTAGATTATATAATATACTTTTAGATAAAGGCATAATATAATGCCTTCTTAGTTAAGTTTAAAGGATAAGTACTTTTAAAACCCTACTTAAGTATAGAACTAAACTACTAGAAAATCGATTAACGCTACCTAAATAACTAAGTTATATTATTAGAACTTAATTATAGTACGCTACTTAAATACTATAATAATTACGGTTTATTAATAAGATATCTTTTAGAGATATATAAAATCTATAAATATACTAAAATAAAAGAATAGTATAACGCTACTTACTTTAAGATATTTAAACCCTTAATCTTTTAAAGACTTACGTAATAAGTTAAATATAATAAAGAAGATTATAACGAATATATATATTTAAACTATAGAGTTTATAAATATAAAAAAGTATAAGTATAGTATAAACGATATAACGGTATATTAAAAGATTATTAGTAATATATATAAAGGCTATAAGCTATATTCGATTAAAGAAGAATTAATATAGAAATACTATATATGTGGGTAGGCACCTGCGGCAGCTGCTGCAATGAGACGGTACTAGGGTTAACCTGTGATGTTGTATTCGTCTTGTTCTCTATCTAAGGAGGCAGAGGCCAGCGTGGAGAAAGGGGGCACGCTGCCCTCAGCCGCACACGTGACCGTACGGGTCACGTGCCAACCATGGTTGGTCACACCACTAGATAGATACATTCCTACACAGGCAACTCTTCTTTTGCTGTGAGAAGCACAGCAACACCTTGAACAGGTCTAAAGGATAGTAGCGTTAAGGCCGTGAAGGAATGTGCCGTGAGGGCGTGTGTCATTATTGCGAAAAAGTGGGTCCGACGTCTTGTTCTTAGCTGTAGATATCGGGGAAGAAGTGAAGGGTCTTCCTGATAGGAGCAATCATTTGATCATAGGGATAAGGAGCGGTTAGGAACGTTGTACGTATCCTTCGACTCGAATTGTCAGACTATTGGTATCGATGAAGCGTTCCAGGGCTCGGTTTGGTGATGCTTTCGTCATTGCATCTGCTGGGTTGTCTGCGCCGTTGATCCAACGAATATCTGTTATCTCTCTCTTCTCGTATGACTGGCGAAGGGCCATGATATCAATCATCAATCGTTTTTCCTTCGTCGTACCGAGCTTGACTAGGCATTCGTAGAGAGAGTACGAATCCGTACAGACGATGAGAGGGATAGGAGGAAGGTTGAGTCGTTCCGTAATTATCTTCATAGTCATCGCAAGGGAGATGCCTATGTCGAATCCGTTGGCCATACCGTAGATCTCTGATGCTAGGACGCTACGGGTAACACGTTTGCACTTTGTTGAACTCCAGTGTACGATGTTACCACTAATCTCGAACTGTTTTTCTTTGTGGTTTGTCTCGTTAACGAGGGCAATGACGAATCCTAGTTGGGAGGATAAGTCCTTGTTGTTTGCGAAAGAACCATCGGTGAAAACCATCAGCTTTGCAGTAGCTAGATCAATTGGTTTGTACGTGAGGCCACGTAGTTGGTGATCCATTTGCCATTGCAGTCGCTTGTTCAAAATTGCGTAATCTTTATCCTCAGGGGTCTGTACTTGGGCGGCGACTGAAACATCGAAAGAAGCTTCCGGTTGAGCAATTGAAGCAATGTATGAGGCTCGCGCTCGTTCCTCAACGTAGCGCTGGTGACGATCAATTGCTTTAGGGTCAATGGTGGTCATTTTGCTGCTTGTCCCTTCTGTTGAAGTAAAGGGATCCTTTCTTAAGGGGTTATTATTCAGCAACGTCAGTCTTGCACCATTAAAGTCAACCGTTGTTCCGTATGTGATGTCAGTCTTGGGCTTGGAACGAAATTCTGCCTTTGTAGCTCTTCTTCTTCACGGGTAGAAAAGTTGTTCGTTCCAAGGATGAGGTGTCATCAGTTTGCATTCCAACAATACCGAGCGTGTCAGGGCCAGTATTCGAAATCAGTAGGCAGGAGTCATAGGTGGAGGTAGACATATCCAGCTTTTCGAGGTGATGCTGCTGATATGTGCGGAACCAATGGACTCCGGCTTCTGCGATACCGTACAGGGCTTAATAACACGAATAATTGTTCCGTTAGGGTATTTGCCTTGTAGTTCCGTGGGCAAATACGTAAGAATGGTCCGGGAAAGCTTGGTCTGGGATTGCGGGTATGCCTGAGTGATATCACGGAGGGAGAGGGTTATGCCGTAGTTTTGAAGAAGTCCGGGGGCAATAGCGAGGATGAGTCTCTGGCTAACGCGTTGAATTGTCGGAGATTGCGTCAGGAGGGTGGTCTTCTCAAAGTCGTTATGTCCTTGAATAACAAGTCGAGACTTTTCGTAGGGCTTAGTGTTGATTCCTTTGACTTCACGAACCATTCGAGAGCGAAAGATTCTATAGTTTCCATGACTCATTTGATCGTATCGTTCAAATTGGAATACACCGCGGCCAACGAGGTCAGTAATCTCTTTGTTATCGGATTCTTCGAAGGGGTCACCAGGAGAGGTGATTATGCCATCAGACCGTAGCTTGAGGAAAGAGCTTGTGCATCTTCCTCCTTTTGGGTCAAGAAGCTCTGGTCTACGGCTTGGGCCATCATGATCAAATCCTTTGGCTTGTTCTTTGATCCTGGTGGGCGTCCTCTTGCGGGGCGGGGGTTCGGGTCGGGCAGGCAGGTCCGTTAGGGTCTTAACGGGGTCTTGAGCCGGTTGTTCATTAAGATCTGAACGAATGCCTGAGGGTCTGTGTCGTGTGTAGGGTCGGAAAGAGTGGTATCATCACGCAGATACGGTTGTACAAGGGTCGATCGAAAGACTTGGGGCCGTTGACTGTGTCAATGGTGATGTTATGGGTATCAATCGATGCAATCTTGAAGGGTCCTTGCCAACCGTCTTTCTCTCCAAACGCGAACTTCACTTTGCAGCGGGAGGATAGCACTTCTGTCGTGCTCGGGCCGTTGCGTGCATGGAGGGCATCCTTAACTCGTCTTTCTGCCGAGAGTTGGCGGAGCATTTTCATCGCTTTCTGCATAGCTTCCGATCTTTTGAGGGTAGAAGCGGAAGGGGCGAGTCTGTAGATACGCGGTATGCGCCGAAAACAAGCAACGTAGGCACAAGACCGTCAGGTCCTGCCGTATCATTGATTGCTTTAACAGCCATTTGAAGGACTGTTTCGGCGGAAGTGGTGTGGCCAATCTCAGCATGGAGGATGTTAAAGGCGCGTCGGAGGGTGCGTGATAGCGTTCAATCTTTCCAATGGACCAATGCGTCTCAACAGGTACTTGAGAGCATTTGATTCCCATAATCTTTGCTTCGTTCCGGAATTCGAGAGAAGCAAAGTTAGTTCCTGCATCATGACGGAGGGTATCAGGAGGTCCAAGATACGTGTCGATCCAGAGGGTCCGGAGGGTCTCCATGTATCTTTAGCTGACATTGACGGTAAAAATCTGGCTCCTTGGAAAGCAGTAGCTGAGTCCACAACGTGTAGAACAGGGCGTTGTGGTGTTCCTAGGTGCATCACATCAACGATGATTTCGTAGTTGAACTCTTGATCATCGTTAAGGGTGAACTTGAAGCGGCGTGGGGCTTGTGAGTGCATTTGACAGTGGTGACAGAACTTAGAGATAGTCTCTAATGTGTCTATCGAGACGTCACTGTGCCCGGCTTGCTTCAAGAGGTGATGGAGCCTAGGGACTGCTGGGTGTCAAAGCGTCGGTGAAGTGTACGAATCTCTGTTTCCGTAAGAAACGAGATGGACTCTTCATCTTTCGTAAGGAAGAACCAGGGATGTCCCCATTTGCGTACGACTGGAATGCTTGTAGGGCGATTAGTACAATGATTAGTACAATTGATGGTATCTGTGATGTTGTTGAAATAGATACCAAGCCGGTCCATATCAGCAAGGCAGAGCAAAAAGGGAGTTGGGGTTTGAAGGACGTGGAACGTGATCCTTCCGAGGGGTGTGTTAAGGGCGACTGTGCCGAGGGAGTGGATGGCGTCGCTGTTGCCGAATTTGATGGAGGCCTGGCCGGATGTGGAGCTGTCGAGAGCTACAGAAGGGTCTTCTCGTTGTAGGGCGATGTACTGAGAGTATCCTGCTGTGGAAAATGTTGCTGCACCTGTGTCGATCATGATACCTTGGAATCTATCCTTGAATAGCGATCTTCAATAATAAATTGCGAGGCTGGAACAACGGTTTGATCCGTCTGATAGACGTCTTCTCCTGTGATCAAATGATTGAATGCCTGTTGACAGAGCATTTGGCTTGCTTGCCATTGTTCCGGGTGATCGTTGGTGCTATTGTCATGTTCTTCCCATGTATCTTCAGTGTCATCAAAGCTGCTCATCTCATGACCTTCGTAGTCTAGAATATAGCCTCCGATGTCCGTGAGTTGTACACCTATGAAGTGACATTGAGTGATATGTTGGTCCTTGGCCTTTGCCGTTCATCCGTAGAGTGTTTAGTTGACCAACAGCCTTCTTGTCCACAAACAAAACACTTCTTCGTCCAGTTTCGGTTACTGTAGCTATGATTGTAGTTACTACGGCTTTGAGGCCGGTAGTTTCCACGGTTGTAGCTTTGTCTGTATCCGCGGCTGGGTCGTTGACCTGAATATCCGTATCTACCTCGAGAGCGGTTGTTATTGTATCGACGGTCGAGGTAGTACTGATGGTGTGGATCGTTATGATCAAATGATCCAGCAAAGTCAAGGGAAATTGAGAAGTTGTTATGAGGGCAAGATGGGTTTCAACGGATGCACGAAGATCTGCAAGAAGGTGCTCGACGTTATCGGCGGGTTTGAAAAGAGCGTATTGGAGTTCGGGTACTCCACGGCATGCTTTCATAAGCGTTGTACGCAGTTGGAGGTCTCCTGCGTACTCCCTGCCAAGGGCTCGTTGGCAGAGCTGAAGCTTATCAAAGAGGATTTGAAGCACTTCGTGGGGGGTCTTCGAAGCATCTTGGGCACGGATGGAGTTGAAGGTTATTGTTGTCCAGTCAGTATGGTAGTGGACATGGTTGACTTCCGTGTCAAAGTGTTGTTTGAAGATATCATACGCTTGTCGGAACGTCGTAGCCCATGTGATCTTATCAAGATAGAATCTTTGGGCTCTTCCATCAAGGATCCGGGGAAAGAGTGCGTGAAATTGTGATGGTTTCACTGGGATATGAGAGCAGTTGCTTAAGAAGAGGCGGAGCTTATCATCAAGGAGATCGTACGGCTCTCCTGTGTAGTTCCGATCTTTGTTCCAGGTCTTCATAAACTTCTGCTGGATGTCGCTATCGACGATAGCGTTCGGGATGTTATCCGGGGGGAGTTTCATGTATTCTCCAAAGGTTGCAGGGCCGGATAAGTGTTCGGGGATGGAGTTGGTGACGGGTTGGACGAGATCGGGGTTCTGGAAGCGGTAGGAAGTCGGATGAATAGTAAGAGAGGTCGGAGCAGGTTTATCTTGGATAGTCGGAGCAGGAGTAGGTGCGTTAGGAGGGCTCGTTAGGGTCTTAATAGGTTGTGGTTCGTTAAGACCTTGATGAGGTGCTGCTAAGGGCGTAACTGATGGTGAAGGAGGTTGAGACGGATGGGGATTAGTGGAAGCATTTGATCCTAGTAATGCTGTCTGCCTCCTGAAGGCAGCAGTCCTCTCATCAAACACCATCTCCGTAAACTCCTGCTCTGGCCAGGTTTGTCAGTTCTCGATAGTTTGTAATATGAGAAATTGTGTTGCGAATTTCCCCTTTGTGAACCTGTGTAGATACCTCTTTTCCTTAGTAGTTTCCTGAGGGCTCTCTTGTATTCATTCGGGCGCGGTCCCATGTGTCTTCGGTCCATTCTTCAAAATGCTGTTGGAAGTAACCAAGGAGGTCGTATCCTTGATCACTGCCAGATTGAACGATGAATATGAACTTTGCCACATATGTCGTTACTGCGATCTTGTCCTTTTCGTCGTGTGTGATATCGTTGTCCCAAAGGTCGATATTAATTTGTCGGAATGCGGATGCTTGGATGTCTAGTGCCTGCATCTGGTCGCATATTTCTTCGAGCTGGGCTTCTGGGGACATAGCTCGGGCGGTCGGGGCTATCGTGATCAAATGAATGAGACGATGTGGGGTTCGTATTGGTCTCTTCGTATACGAGTTGTCGCTAATAGGAGGTCGAGCGTCGCGTACTAAGTAGGTCGTTCGCGGCCAGACTGAACTGACGGGGATCTTGCTACTTAACGTCAAGGGTCGAACGTTCTTACTAGTTGTTTGCGATGTGGTCGCCTGTCGATTCCGGTGCTCACGGCTAGGCAAACTAGCGGGCGATCGTAATCAACAGTTGGAAGGACTCTCGCGCGGCTGGGCAAACCAGCGGGAGATTCCTTGTTCTTAGCACAAATAACCTTCTTCTGAGCGCTACTCAGGGCCACAGTAAAGTGACGCGGACTATAGCACCTTCGAAGGTTGAGGAATTTGTCTCTTCTACTTAGCTGTCTGTGACGGGCGTGGGCCGGTCACTGATCAGTGTGGGTAGGCACCTGCGGCAGCTGCTGCAATGAGACGGTACTAGGGTTAACCTGTGATGTTGTATTCGTCTTGTTCTCTATCTAAGGAGGCAGAGGCCAGCGTGGAGAAAGGGGGCACGCTGCCCTCAGCCGCACACGTGACCGTACGGGTCACGTGCCAACCATGGTTGGTCACACCACTAGATAGATACATTCCTACAATATAAAAAATA